CCTCCCCGCCGCCTGTGCCGCGTCACTACCACACATTTACACACGCACCGAGGGGCGGGACCGCTGCACCGGGGCCCACCCACTCACCCTCCCACCTCCAGGCGTCGTGAGGAGTCTTGGCGTCCTGCAGGGCTGACAGCAGAGGAGGGAGGCAAGGGAGACAGTGGGTAGAGACGCAGGATAAATGAAGGAGAACTGAGATGGATAAAGTAAATCTGGAGAGAAAGGGAAAGCGGGAGAGGCAGAAGTAGAGGTGCCGGGAAAGTGCAGTGGAATGGGTAGGAGAAGAGAGGCAGATAAGGAAAAAGGGGAAAAAGAGAGAGAGGCTGGGAGAATGAGGAGCAAAGGAGACAGATATTTAAAAAGAGGAATCATGGGTACTCTGAAGAGTCACGAATTCTTTTCCCTATGTCCAGCCATCCCAGAGGCAGGGGGTCATCTTAAAGACCTTCGGAAGAGAGGCCACGCTTGCCTCTTTTGTATTCAACAACCTATTCTGCTGGGGAATTCCTGGAACACAAGGATCAAGGGATTATAAGAGGCCCTAGAGAACACCTAGTCCTACTCCTTCATTCAGCCAAAAGGAAACTTAGAATGACAAGGTTGTTTATGCTGGGTTTTCTCTGGGAATTGGAGCTCAGGACAGTTTTGCCCATTCTAATAGGAACACAAAGTAAACAAACTGGAGCCTCTGTGTCATGGGCGAATCTTCCAGAAACTCTAAGATGAATTTTTACTTCTTGAAGCTTATGGTAAAGTAGGTCAAACTGGTAATCAATATTTAATTTTAATATACAACGGTGGTTATAAGTGATAAGATAGGAAGATGCTCAAAGTGCTATAGGATTCCCCAAGCCTAGGGATATAGGGATGCTTATTGGAGGAAATAACACTTGAAGTGGGAAGGATTTTCCAGAAAAGGGAAACAGCATAAGCAAAAGCTCAGAGATATGAACCAGCATAAACTGAATAATTCATTAATTTCTACAATAAATGTACACAACACACCCACCAAGTTCTAAGTAATGTACTAGGAAGTAGGCAGGCTACACCTAACATAGATAATAAGTTATAGTTTCTATAATCAACAAGATTACAGTCTGGTAGGGTAGATATGGTATGCACATGATGACTAAAATACAAATCAAAATTTCTGTAAGAGTTCTGAGGCCAAGTTCCAGGGAAGGAGAGCTTGACCATGGGGGCCTGATAAGGAGCAGGT